GTCACGTCTCATACAAATCTTTCCATAATTTTCCCTGGGACTGATTCCAGCCTAATCTGCCTGTGTTTGCTTGAGCAATCCCATTTATCCTCTTGAACAAAGGGACAACAACTAGCTTCTTTACAATCATCTCAAGCTGCCTCAGTGTTCCAGAACATATGAAATATCAACTGGAATAGCTCAGAATACTCTTCAGCAAAGCTCTTTTGAGCTCTCTGCTGACATATGCCTGGTCTGTGGATCTTAAAATGTTAAATTTTAGTAATTGTTGTTTAAAACATTCCCATTTTCTGCAGAGAGCTTTGATGCATGTGACTTTCTCTGAGCCACTGCTTTCCAAACTGTGCGCTCTCTTGCTGGAAATTGAAATGGCATTTCGAAGTCTCAAAATTTCCCAGTAGGTCTGTATTTGTTAGTCACTGGAGCAAAAGTAAGAACCCTCCATCACTTCTAAATTATACCAGAATGCCAACATTTGTGAAATGTATATGACTCAGGAAGCTCCTAAGCTATTTCAAGGTTCTTTAATTTAAGTAGCTTTCATCTTGCATTCTCCTTTGCTACAGGTGGCAAACTTTTATTCCATCTATAGAACCATATACAATAAAACCTGCCCACTGCCTTTTTTTTCTCCATAGAACTGAAAAACAATGGGAGATAAACACCTTCAACTTTCCAATTTTTCTGCTAAAATGACCTGTATTAACCCAGGCTTTCTTTTCTTTTTTCCTAATGCACTGGTCATTTTCATTCATTTTCATTTTAAAAACTCACGTATTCTTAATTTGTAAATTATATTAATCATCAGCTACTTCCACCTTATTTATGTGACATCTTCTTGTTTAATCACTGCTTCCAGATAGCTTTTTTAACCAGTCTGATTTCCACTGAGCTATATTTCCATCCATATCCAACACTGTAACATTTTATGGATGCACACAATGATGGACTGTGCCATTGACCTGGTAGGAGATTCACAAGGGATTCCAAAGCTTAGCTAGGATTTTCCAAATTTTCTAATCAGGAATAGTTAAAGCTTTGGAAAATGGAATTGGAGCTTCAGATAAAAAAATTAATTATTGTTTCACGTGATTTTTTTCATATATGACAAATACACTTCTGCAGTGACTGGTGTTCAGGCAACCGATGACCTTTAGATTAGCTTCTACCTTTTGTTCTGTTCAAGAGTTGGCACTGAGTTATCTCACTGCAGATGCAGCATACCATGTGTAAGGAACTTACCAATTATTATTTTTAGAAACTCTCAAAAGTTTTGTCAACAGAACATGAGAAGTTCAGCAAATGTTTCCCAGGTTCCTCTCAGCTAGATGTCTGTCATTCTCTATCCTTAGTGAAACTAGTTAGATGTTTAGCCCTCATATATTCAAATTTCATGTTTCTAAATCTTGACTTTGGAGTACACATTGCAGTCTCTCTGATATCTGGAGACACAGTTTCACCTCTGCTTCCCTCACTGTACAGGTTGTAACTATGACATTTAATGTCCACGTTGTAAAATTTAATCCATCCTAGGTGTAAGGACTGCACCTAGAATGTAAGGATTGATATGGCCCAGTTTGCTTATTATCTCATAAACAGGTGGAACACATAAATTTTCCTTTCACTCACGTACATGGTGGTATCTTATAACCTGGACCCAACAACTGGTTACGGAAAAGTGCCTCAATGTCTTTACGAGTTTACACCACTATTGACTACACAGTCATCTCAGGACAACCTTAACCAACATGGTCCAACTAGACATTTACTCCTCTCCTTTGAAAACAGATCTCTGTCTGTGGCTAAAACTCAAGAGGACATAGCTAAGAACATTTTCTATCATTTTGAATGTATGAATGTAATTTAAAATATTTAAATGAATTTATGTGAACACAGGTAACATTAACAATATGCCCTACAGGATTATTTACCTACAAGGCTGTCCACAGCCCATTCTTAAACATATGGACTCTTTTCTGCTGCAGACCCCAGCTCAGACCTCTACATCTCCTGTGCCCTTGGATTTTCACTGAGAAAAAAAAAAAAGAATAAAGTGATTTAGGAAGAGTTAATGCTCTTGAACAGATGCACCAGTAAGAGATGTGACAAAATGTCAAGTGGAATGTGCCTGAGGGCTTGGAATTTGGCCGTGGACATAGCAGATGAGTCCCCAGGATGGCACGTCCCCCAGAGGCCCAGCATGCTTTGGTGACAGCTGTGATTTTTATGGCCCAGTTTCGATGACAGTTTGGGAGGAGTCAGCTCCACTCTGTTCTGATAGGAATTTGGTTTGTCATCAGATTCTAAAATCCCTCTGATTTACGGCATCAGCCACTGTTGGAGTTTTACTTAGATGCATGTCCTGTACTCTTTCCCTGTGGATAACAGACTGATGGAGGTTAAGGTGCAAACTGTAATGTTTAGATTAAACTAATTGGGAGGAAAAGGAAAGAGGTAGTCATTACATGATAGGAAGCATAGAGAAAGCTCCAAAAAATCATTCATTAAGAGCACTTTATTCTGAAAATGGACAGCTCCTCCACAGTGGTATAGACACCAACAACATCTGTGGTCCACAATCTGACAGAATTGTGCATGTTTCAGGGAATTAAAAGATTTATTCCAGAGTACTCCAAGAACTGGCTGATAGCATCTTGAGACGTCTCAATTATTTTTCAGTGATCTTGGGAATTTGGAGATGTCCCAGACAATTGAAGGCTGGCAGTTTTCCAGAAGGGCAAGAAAGAAGACTCTGATAATTATTGGCCTGGCTGTCTCACTTCAGTGCCTGGCAAAATTATGGGGTAAATTATTCTGAGAGTTACTGAAAAACACCTGAAAGACAATGGAGCCATTGGTCATTGCCAAAACAGATTTACAAGGGGAAAGTCATGTTTATGAACTTAATTTCCTTTCAAGATACAGTTACCCATGTAGCTGACCAAGGGAAGCCAGTGGATGCAGTTTTCTTGGATTTCAGTAAAGTTTTTGGTACTGTTTCTCATAGTACCTTTCTGCACAAAATATCCGGCCTGTAGCTAGACAAAAACATAATGTAATGGATGAGAAATTGGCTGATGGATTGGGCTCAAAGGGTTATAACAAATGGGGTTAAATCAAGCTGCTTGCTGGTCATCAAAGTGTTCTGCAGAACTCTGTTTTAGGGCCAGTTCTGTGTAGAATTAATTGAAGACATGGATACAGGACTCAAAGGTACGCTAAGGAAGTTTGTAGATGGTACTTAACTGGGAGAAGCTGTTGACTCCCTCAGGGATAGAGAAACCTTTCAGAGAAAACTTCATAAATCAAAGGGCTGGGCAGTCATCATCTGCATGAAGTTTAACATGAGCAAGTGCTGGATTCTGCACCTTGGATGTGGCAGCCCTGGACATGTATACAAACTGGAGAACAAGTGGCAGATCCCAGATCTGACTGGGATCAGGGGGTTGTGGCTGAATCTGAGCCAGCAGTTGCCCTGGCAGCCCAAAGGGCCAACTGTATCCTGGGGTGCATCAGGCCCAGCACTACCAGCCGGGTGGGGGAAGGGGTCGTCCTGCTCTGCTCTGTGCTGTGCGGCCTCACCTCCTGCACTGGGTGCAGCTGTGGGTGCCACAATGTAAGAAGGACATAAAACTGTGAGAGAGCATCCGAAGGAGGGTTACAAAGATGGGAAGGGTCTGGAGGGCAAAATGTATGAAGAGCAGCTGAGGTCTTGTGGTTAGTTCAGCCCAGAGCAGAGTTGCTGAGGGGAGGCCTCATGGTGGCCTACAGCTTCTAAGAGGAGTAGAAGAGCACCCTGAGCTCTGCTCTCTGATGACAGTGACAGGATCTGAGGGAACGGCATGGAGCTGTGTCAGGGAAGGGTCAGGATGAGAGTTAGGAAAAGCTTCTGCACCAGAGGGCAGTGGGCATGGCAAAGGCCACCCAGGGCAGTGGGCATGGCCTCAACATGCCAGAGTGCAAGGAATGTTTGGACTCTGCTCTCAGACCCTCTCAGATAGGGTGGTGCTATGTTGAGCCAGAAGTTGGACTCAATCTTTGTGGGTCCCTTCCAACTCAGGATATTCTATGATTTTCTGATTCTAACAAAGATCTACCCCTTGGTACCAAATACCCTCATATTTGCCTATGACAAAGTAATCTCCCAGAAAGGTGATCTGTGAATGTGCTTGGAACAAGAACTTTAGAAGTAGGTGTCAAATGCCTACAGCTACACAGGGTAAGGGACATGTCAGCACGGCACTAGTCAGTTCTTCAGCTCCCATTTGGTGCGACCTTGATGTGGATTTCCTTGTTCACTTAACATCCAGTAGGGAACCAGTCTGGCACTCGCAGAGTCATTTAGGATACAGGCTCCTGGATTTTGTGACCTTTTATTTTGCAGGCCTAGTAAGACACAGATAGCGCTAATGGTTCCTCTGCTAATCAAAAATCCCATTTCTACCAGCATAGGCATTTAATTCTCATTTTAAGATAGGATGTTATAGGATAAGGTAGTTTCATTCTGGTGGACCTCACTGCTACTCCTCATGAGCTCTGCTGTAAATGTGGCCTGAAGCCTGAAGACTTCAAAAATCACATTTCTTGGAGGTGACAACAAAACATTCAGAATCACTGGGAACCCTGTGGCCAAGCTGTGTTTGCTCTATGGGATCAAAAGGAGCTGACTGGCAGGAATTCTCAGCCTGGCACTTGGGACTTTCCCAGCAAAACGCATGTATTTCCCACCTGGAGCATGTTCAGTTGCAACATAGATTCCTAACATCATTCTCACCCTTGGGTCTCAGGCACCCACCTCCCTCTTTTCTCCAGACTTTCTGCCACATGGCATTTCTAGCAGTTGGATTAGAAATTACTTCTATTTCCACTTTCTCAGATTTATTGCATGTTTGTAAAGCATATCTTATTAATTCTCCTGTTGTTCATTGTTTGTTTTTTTCAGGCAAAAGGTGTAAAGATACTGTAAATTTCTAAAGAAGTGGGCAAAAAAAAAAAAAAAAGGAAAAAATATGAAATTATATTTGATCAATTATATTTGATCCTTTTTTATAAAGCACAAATTGAAGTGTTATGTTTCTTACTGAAAGTTATCTGACCACAGATGAAAAAGTGTGGGAAAACCACAGCAGAGCAACAGCAAGAAGAAGCTCAACCCCAGACCTTGTCAGAGGATGCAGTGGACACAGAGAGTCTCCGGAGATATGTTGCAGCTCCTGGGGATTTGGAAAGAAAACAAACAAAGCCAAACTATCCCTTGAGTGGAACAATTCCAGTTCAGTTTCATAAATCAGATACAGTTTGGATCTGTTGAAAAAACTCTGTAAGAAATGTCAGAAAGAGATCAGTCAGTACACCTGAGAAATTCTATTGGGGTGTAAAATCTCATAGTTTTGTAATCAATCTATGGGGATGGAAAAGTTCATTCCCTGGTGAGTGGGTACTGCAGATTCCAACTGTTTTTGCAGAATCATCTTTTTTCTCCGTTTGTCATCCCAGGACTCTAGAAGTGGTGTTACAGTACCTCTCACAATTAGCTCAGAGTGAGAGAGGTATATGAATAGCATTAGAACTCCATTCCCAATGGACTGTTTGTTCTTCATGGCTATTTTATTTTATAGTCCAGTTATCATCCTACTCCACAAATGTCTAATCAGATAGCAAGTGCTTCCTTGGGGCCTTAGGATCCTTCATATAATTTGGGGACAACGCTGAAACAGGTAAGGTCAGTGTCACCTGAAACAGAATAATACATTTCTTATTAATAGTCTAAGTGTTTTCCCCTGATTTCCAAGTGACTGAGAATAGCAGGCACAATCCTTCCGTTTTCATATTTAGAGCAACCGCAACACTGAAGTGCAGACCTTGGGCAACATGAGTGGCCAGTGAATCACAGAGAACACAAAGGACAAGGTCAGTACAACTGTAAACACAATCAGAACATATCAATCACTGATCTTAGAGCCCAAAAGGCTCCTGAACTCCACACCCATTTGAATAAACAATCAGAATTTCAGTACTATCTATCTGCTTCTAGACTCTGCAACACTTCATAGATTTTTTTCACTGAGAAATGTTTTCCAGATTTCTTTTACTTCTTGCCAATGATACAAATACCACAAAACAGTCTATCTCAAAGTGTTCTGGCAAATAATTCAGGTGTTGGCCAAGATTCTAATACACACTGTCTACATTAGGTTTTTATAACATGTCAGCTAGCCCCTGATAGCTACCATGTGGTGATAACGACTATTCAGTCCAAGCCCTAAATGAGATGGAGAAAGTGCACGTGTAAAGAAGGAACGCATCTCTGCAGTGATGTTCCTATTCCTACAATTTCTGCAGTTCCTGGAAAAAGAATGAATTCAGAGGCCTGGACTGTTAACACTGAAGTAAGTCCTGCTCTTTCTAACCTAATACTTATGGTTTCATCATCACTATTTGTCACTACTATATCTTGATCTTTTTTCTTCCAGCTTACTGATGTGGATGTTGTGGAGAGCCTAGTGGTGCAAATCACATATGTCTATAAAGAAGGAAAATTGATTGTGTCACAGCAAATGAGCTGCTGCTGGTCTGATCAGCCTCATGAAGTCAAGGTTTGCACTCAAGTGCCATTAGTTTGGAGTTACATGTCAGGTATAATTTAATACTGAGAATCTAGAATTGTCTGACTGGACTTTGGAGAGAGCCTAACCCCTCTGTTCTGCATGTCAAATTAACTACCCAGTAGTGAGTTCCCCTGGCAAAGTGATCACCCGTTGGCCAGCTGCCACACCACAAAGCTCCCCATACAACCGTCTCAGAAATGGAAACTTGTTATTCTTTAGCTGCCCTGTGAATACCCGTTCTGTCAAGGCTGGAGGGAAATATTTGGGGCAGGCAGGCTGAGAAAACAGAGAGGTGTTGGGTGTCAGAATTGATTTAAATGGGCTGCAGCTTTGCGCATAAGCACTGGAGCTCAGCAGCCAGAGGATGGAAGGTACCAAGAGCTGGGGGCTTTACAGGCAGAAGAAAGTGTGCTAGAGATAACCTTGAATGCCCAAGAGCTTCATTTGGATGTAAGAAGAGAGCATTGTTTGTTCCAGCATGACATGTGAGGTCTTCCTAAGTTTCACAAGCATTCACAGGTAGCAGTTGTGTTTACAGGACTCCTGGTACACTGCTGCTGGCAAATCAATGAACATTACTCCCCAGATGCCCTTACAGGCTGAGCTGCCAGGGGACCAGGTAAGTATGAGAATAACAGACTCAGTCTCAGCAAATGTGATTCTGTGATTCTGAAATGACCTCTACTTGAGTCTGTTGTGGAGTTAACAGTTCCCAGTGATCGCAGTGACAAAGCCTTCTTACAGAACTTCAGTATGCACTAAGCACTTTTGGGTGCTTGTCCATCAAAGAGATCCCAGTGTCCCTATAGCCTCTGCCTTATTCAAACAAGGAGACCTGCTGGAGCACCTATCTCTCTAACTGTAAAGAAAAATGGGCTGGTAAGGGTTGGTGAATATCATCTGTCATCCTGTCATGCAATTCGTACGTATTCAGAGCATGTCCAGATGCCAGGATTTGGAAAGTGGCAAATCTGGATGCCTTGATATAAAAATGATCATGATTGAGAATCATAGGATCCCGACTGTCCCAAGGTCTCCAGCCCAAGACCCTGCTCAAAGCAGAGTCATCTATGTGAGCAAACCAGACTGCTCAGGGCTTGCTCAGAGAGCACAGATCTTGGAAACAGATACACATATTTGCCATTTTGTTCAGAAGGACATGCCATATATTTTCTATTTTCTTAGTCATAAATGATATTAGTTCTTCGTACTTTCAAGTATTTTTTCCCCAGTTTCCACCATTGAATGTCAACTCCAATCTATGATGCCTAAACAGAGCTGAGACAAAGGACAGGAAACCTGAATAAATATGTTAGTGACAAATCTGTTTCACTTTTCTTCCAAATCTATTCTGAAACTGTTGCTAGGCTTGGCAAAGTAGCCTACATTAAAACATATCTTGCATTAAGCCACTTCCTTTCTACTCATAAATTTAGTTTTCTCTTTCTTTTCTACTGCCTGTCACCTGAAGTTCTGAGGATTTTCAGGAGACTTTCTGGTTTATTCCACCTCACAGAGGAAGACCCCTTGACTCATTTTCTTTCTCCTTTCTCATATTCAGTAGCCTTACAGACAAGCAATCCTTCTAAAATCCATTTTGTATCAAGAAAGAGCAAATCTAGTTACACTCTGCATTACATATCACTGTTACATGTGTGCATTTACATTGTTCACTTGCTTACAGTAATAGAGATATGTTTACCATAATTTATTTTCATAATTTATTTATTTTGCAAATACCAACATACTCAACTCATTGTTAACAATTCCGTTGGGCACAACCTAGTATGGGGTATTCTGACCTGTCACCCCATCAACAGTTGAGCTGGTTCAGTATATTTTCTTACTTAGCTCTTCTAGCACTCTTGATAATCCTGATTTAACATCTTCAAAGGCATCATTCTGCAGAGCCTGTGAGTCTACAATAAAAGTGCCGAGACTTGTCAGGTTTTCTGCCTTAGAGATGCCCATCACTTCAGGCTTGATGTGATGTTTATCTCTGATAAACAGCTTGCTCAAAGACATCATCTGAATTTGGATATAGTACATTAGCAGCTTCTTAATCTGGTTCAATCTTTATGCTTGGGCTGGCAAGCTACTCAGAAAAGATGCTCACATTTATTTTCCCTCATCCTGAGCCTCCAGAGAATGTGGATGGTCAACAGGCTTCATAAGGCCAAAGAATTAAGCGGACATTGTACTGGTATGCAGCATAAAATATATTTAAATCACACAAGAGTTTTTAGTGGTCTCTGACAGATAAGAGAACTAGATATCTTTAATTCTAATGAGAAATTAGTCTGTTTGCAGGGATGTCTACATAAAGAGAAAGAAAAGTATACCTGAAATATGTGTCTATCATCACTTCTTTCCAATGAAGAACATTTTCATATTGATATACTGATGAACAATATCTAAAAGCAGTAGACTTTTGTAAATCTACTTGTGGGTATGGACTTTTTCCCTTAACATAACTTGAATCAATTTGTGTTGCCTAATCTGTATCTAGAAGTTTAATGCTACTTTCATAGGCATTTCCAAAGTATTAGGGCATTTACTAGTCTTTTTAACTACTGTTTATATGACAAGATTGCTTTACAAAAAAGCTTTTGTTATTTATTATAAATGCTAGGGGGTAGCTGACTATTTGATGAGATGCTGGATTAACTTGTGTGTGTTTTGGAAAAATAAGTACTCTAATCTCAGAGCAGGCCTGAAGTATTCACTCATCAATATTAATATCTGAAGATGTACCACAAAGGGACTGATCAGAAATGCTGTGAAAGGCAAGAAGGTTGTAAAGTTTGGTGTGGAATAATAGATATAAGACATGTGGATCATGCTGAATTTTTGAAAGTTTTTTGTGGGAGTTTAGTATGACAACACTTCCATCAACATGATTAAAGCAGAAAAAGAATCAAGAATTCTGCTTATTTGCAAAATAGGACTTCAGAAAAAAATATATTTTGAGGATCTCATATCATTCATTTGGGCATTACATGTTAAAAATGTTTCTCCTCCATTTATTTCTGGAGGAATATGAAAATTGGCATACTTGATCAAACAGAAATGAAAGGTATCCTGTTTTCCTCTCTCCATACTCATGTCTTCAGAAGAAACTGCATGTCTGTGTACATGGAACAACAGGGAAAGCTGCTTCCTTCTTATTCTAGACAGAAATGAACTGGTTCATACCATTCATTTTAGGATTATTTTCCACAGTAATTTAATAATTTTCATTTACCACGTAAGCATTCAGCTACTTTTTAATCTTATTTAAATATTGACACAGTCCTCAATTGTTAGTGACCACTATGGGCTCACTCTAAACCATGTAAAAAAAAATCTCCTGGGGACCTTTTAAACTGATGTTGCCACTAAAATTCACAGATGTCCTTTACTTTTATTATCATTTTCACTCATCTATTTCTCCTTTCTACACTGAGCAAATTTGGTCTTGTCACACATGGAATTCTGTCATTCTTGCAGACTTTTTTGTCAACCTGACATAAGCCCTTTCCCAGAATTTACCTGGAGGTGTTCATTACCTGACCAGTTCCATCTAGGCAGCTACAGCCCAGGCTAGTAGTATGTAATTCAAATTATCGTGCAAGGTTTGGATTTGCTGTTGAGCCAGCCATGCTATTACCACCCAATTTTCCTTTGACAGAATGAAATGCAAATACTGGGAGACATTTCAAAGATGGCTCGTGAATTTTCACTTGCCCGTCTGAGTGTTGTGCAAGTGTGGAGTATGATCTATTTTTAATCACAGCTCCAAATTCTGTACAATTCAAACACTGTCAGCTTGTCTTCAGACAAGCTATGTGATGTGTATGTTTATGAACTTGTCACTGATTTGTATTAAGGGCCTGACTGTACCTCCGCCTGCAAAATCAAATTAGAGCAATGGAAAAGTATAATTCTCTACCCTCCCCCAGAAATACCATGCTTGGAGAACAGCAGGTGCAAGTTTCAAGGCCAGGTCAAGATCACTGTCAAAATGTGGCCCTTCATGCCAAATTATCAGTCAAAGATCATCTCCTCTTCCTTCCTAACAGCCCATAACAACAGAAGCTCCCACCAGAAACTTGAAGCTTGTCAGCACTCTGTTTGCATTTCAATATATTCTTTGTAAATAAAGATCCTGTAAGACATTAAACTCAGCCTTCTAGTGAAATTGGAGCTGAATGTATCTGCATTACAGTTGCATTTTAGGTAGTATGTTGCAGGGTGAAGGCTTGTTCTTTGCAAGGGTTTCAATTCAGGTTGGTTGCATCCTGAAGATCTAGCAAAATAACTCTTCCATGACTGTATTTTGGTTAGACAGTCTATTTCATATACTCAACATTGGTACAGACTGCAAATCCAGATAAAATACTTGGTAAAATAATTAGATTGCACACCCACTCCTGCCACTCAACAGACTTGATGAGCAACAGCAAACCTTCCACAAATCAATACCTGGAGGCATCTTTGTAATTAGCTAAAGAAAGCTCCAGAGTGTCGATGGTCTTCACAGAGTGCCTGGTAGGCCAGTACCACAGACCACTCTGCATGCAGGGATGGGATTGTTAGAACTGAGGGCCTTTACACAAGCCCCATTTCCTATTCAAGATGACAGAATGCACTATGTTGAAGTTTTCTTTTGCTCCCCAGTATCAAGATACACAGCTCCAACCCATGCAAGGGCAGAGAGAATTGCAGGCAGAAACAAAAGGAAGATTTGCATTCTTCCCACTGGCTGCCAGCCCCTCCACAGCTGTCTCTGATCCCTACCCCCATGACATGCTTAAATTTGATGAGGGTGAACACTATGACAGTCTGTGGAACGGCAAATATACTCCTTCAGCCAGTATCCTTGAGATAACTGGCTTTTTTTGGTTGCTTCTCCCAGCCTTCAATTTCTGAACTCAGGAAAGGACCTTAGGTACCCTGCTGACCCTGAGCAAAATAAATGTTTGTGGAGACAATATGAAGGGGATACCAGGTTTTTTGCTAGCCAAAGCAATGACTGAATTTATAGGCTCAGGGTAGGGTGATTTCAGTTTAGAACAGAACCTTTCTGTTCTGTAAATCTGATGCCTACTCTAACATCAGTACATCAGTACTCCAACACAAAACTAACACCAGGTCTAAAAATATTTAAGTACTCTGAAATAGGTAAGGAGACAAAGATTCACATACAAGAAGAAAAAATGCTCCAAAGTCTTTCCAAATATTTTGCCTGCCTGTTAATTTTTGGCCTCTTAGTGCCTACCACCAGGATGAGTAAGGTGCCTAGGAGATGACACTTTGAATCATCATCCTCTCCCTACTTCACAGATTTATAGAAGCCATTAGATATCATATAGGTCTGCCAGTAACTGAGATCCTGTCCATGCTGACGTTATCTGAAGCAAAAGCAAAGCCTTAACAGCCACCCCGCCTAATCAGCGTCTTCACTTAACTCATGCTGCCCTTTCCTTCCCCAGGATTTTCAGTTCAACCATGAACTGCATCCAAAGGCTACTTTGTTCTTAGTGAAATAACAAGATTGAAATCACCTGGTGCTGTGATCACTGAGTGTGATCACTGAGAATGCCTCAAGGGAGCCTTCCCAATTAACCTCAGCAGAGAGCTTTTGTAAGCCTACCAAGAGGAAGCCAGCCAGTTTATGAGTTTCTTTCGGGGATGTGACATTTCTGAGTGACCTTGTACACCACAGGAAGTTTCTGATCTTAGTGGTTTCCCCATAGCTGTAATTCTAAAATACTCCCTGAAACAGCCCTGCTGCAACTGTAGGGCTTCCCAGATTCCATGCTTCATCATGCGCATTCCTCATGATACTTACAGTGGCAGTGCCCAACCTGTTTCTCATGAGGACCAAAGCACCCATTTCCCCATTGCCTCTTCTGTGGCCTCCCTGAGTGCATTACCTGAAGTGCTTCTTAAGTGGACACATTTCTCACTCACACTTCCAATGTTCTTTCCATAGCTTTTTAATTTTTAATTAATTAAATAAATAATTATTTTTTGAGAATGAGATCTCCCATCTTGTAAACGTCATCTGCACTTTTTTTGTTTTTCTATGTGTTACTGTGGATGTATTCACACATATGTTCAACTGCTTTCAGCCTAATGATTAACCCCATTTTCTTTACATCCATCACGTGCTCTCACCTCATTTACCATGTCATAAGTCCTGTGTGATCAGATAACTTAATTAGAAACTCTTCTTATACTTGCTTTTATCATCAGCAAAAATATTCAACAGTGCAGGACTAAAATCAGAACTCCATGAGAACTGAACAGAACATACCCCTTCATTGAAGATTCCCCATTAGCAAACAGTTTTCAGTCATTTAGCTGACTTCTAACTTGTTTAATATGTGCTGTAGTGTCTTGGCACTAGCCTAGTTTGTAATAAGAATGCAAAATACTTCTAAATCACATTCTGTAGAAACTGAACTCTACATTACCAAGATTAAGTAGCCAGGATTACAATATTTTTAGTAAACAATGTGACGCTATTTTATTAGAATCCATTTTCCATGAAACCTCATTTATTAACACTCACTAAATTTCTGTATTTGAACTGTTTATTGACTGTGTACCACTGCTGTTTTTCGCAGTATCATTATCACCCTAGCTGACCTGTAACTTCCCCTGTTAGGCTATTCATCACTATAAAATGTCAGCAGACTAGCTTCTTAATATTTCACTGGATATTATTCCAGTTCCTCAAAACTTCAGAAATTAAATCCAATATCACAGAAAGCTTCACGATCCACTTTAAAATGTCTTGACTGCAAGCTAAGATGGTTTTAAGCTAAGATAGCAGAGGTTTAGGTTAGGTATTAGGAGAAAGTTTTTCACACAGAGGGTGGTGACACACTGGAACAGGTTGCCCAAGGAGGTTGTGGATGCCCCATCCCTGGAGGCATTCAAGGCCAGGCTGGATGTGGCTCTGGGAAGCCTGGTCTGGTGGTTGGTGACCCTGCACTTAGCTGAGGGGTTGAAACTAAATGATCATTGTGATCCTTTTCAACCCAGGCCATTCTATGATCCTATGAAGATCTTCTGACTTCAAGGTATTTAAACTTTCACAGTAGCTGGCCATTGTCAGACTGTGCTACATCTACCAGTACAGTGCTCTAAAACAATAGATCTTATTTTGGGCTACTTTCCAAGTTCTGTGCTCCAGGAATTGCACAGGTTTTGGATCCTTTTCAGAGGAAGATATTGCTTTAAGATTTTGGAACTCTCCGTATTTTGGTGCCTTATGTGATGGTCATGACTGGTCTAAAGGAGATTCTCTTCTTGATGATATTTCTTGTGCAAAATCACAGCTAGAAAGTTATGCATTTCCAAGGAAACTCTAAGGAGTTCTCCAAGGAGAGATCCATGTTTAGTACATCAAAAATGAGCTATGTTTCATCTTTTCTTAATCAAGGAGAGTGTTTTGTTTTGTTTATTTTTTATTTACATTTTACTTACCATCAGTTGACAACATGTAGTTATTTGGTTTTAAAACCACAAATACTCAGTAAGGCAATCTGCACTGGATTTCTTACATTTGTTAAAACAATTTGACTAAATGTTTCTGGTTTTGTATTTTGTACAAGATATTTATCTTTCATATGTGCTAATTAACTTGTATGTGTGCATCTATATAAGCTACATATGTCATCAAGTTATTTTGCCTGCCTTATTAATATTTCATCCTTAATGAAGTACAATTACTGATTGTCCTTCACCTCCCCTGTCTTCTCATTCACTGCTAAGACACTATCCATAAGTCTGGGAGTCCAATTCTGTACACCAGCCAATCAAAAAATAA